GCGGCACATCATGCACACATGCTGGTTTCCGCATCTATTAGATTGCCCCGGGATTTATACTCTGATATTTTGATTGGTTGTATGATTTGGCTTTTAGACATGGTTTACAATGTGATGTGGTTGATTAAATAATGTTTTTAATTATAACTTTTTCTAAAGTAATGTTTTAAAAACGAAATTTTTGGACGTGAAAATTGGGTCGTTACAGATTTTGTTTATGCTTTGTTTAAAAATCAGAGTAACATTTTAAATAAAAGTGTTGCGGAATTTGTGCCAAAACAAAATATGATAAAGATTTATCAAAAGAATTTTCGTAGAAATGTATTTCATTAAAAAGACTGGGGATGTTATGTTCGATACAAATCATAAGCATAAACAATACAACATATGCCTTACTACATTATTCCGTATTACAGGCCTAAAATTTCCTTAATCTTTCATCCCAAGACATCACATCTATGCTCATGCGCCACTACCTGTAATACAAGAAACTGAGTGGGTCAGGCTTGGGAGCCTGGTGAGCTCATAGGGTTTTCAACCCACAATAAATAAGTTTATTAACTTTATCAAACCAAACAACCCGATTACCCGTTCCTGTTATCCTCACTTTACGTCCCTAAAACATCTAACACAAGGGACCTAGTCTAAGGACTTTCATTGGGATGGATACTACTGCTAAGGGGATTCCCCAACAATAAATTCCCTTAAGGCAACCATGTGGGGGATGGAGTACACCTAGTGAGCACATAATTCAAATAAACACACAGTTCAAATAAACATCTACAGGTTGCGAGCCTGCTAGCGTTCCACTGGACTGTCTAGAATAGTCCGTGGTCATCATCTATATTCCGCTAGATGATTGGATCATAAATAACATCTATAACGAGGCCTCTCATTATTTTATTTCGTCACACAACAACTATTACATCTACCCATGTTTTACCCAACACATTTTGTAGATATAAAATACATATACAGTTTATATCATTTTAAAAAAAATGTATAAAATCGTTCATCCAGCAAGATAGCAAGTATACAGATAATATGCACACACAACACGTAATTTATATAAAATACTTCATATCTATGTAAGTTGAAAGTAACTATGCACTCACCTGAAAAGGTGGTGAATCTGAACTCAGACAGCGCTTCGCTTCTTAAAAATAATTTCCTTCGACGAAACCTAGTATTATTACCACTAGAGTTTAGTCTATTATTTGTCGAGACTAATTAATAGTCTAGCTATTATTACTATAATATAAGCGTCAAAAAATACTTATATAACCCATAATAATAGCCTAACTACTTATTATAAGTTCTGAATAACGTTACTATAATTAAATAAACGATATATTAAAAATAGTGTAGGCGTTGCTCACTTACATCGGGTTTTATAGAAAACCAGGATTTGCTTGGAGCAGCATTCCCGAGCCGAAAAGCTCTTTTTCTCAGAGCCATTGAGCACTCTGGTGCTTCCGTCTTGTGCTAGGGAGGTTCCTTAGGCTTTTCGGGGGGTTTCAGGACTAGAGAGAGGTTCTAGAGAGAGAGAGAGTAAAGAGAAGAAAGAATGAGAAAGATGTGAAGAAAATGAGGGTGGGAGAGGTTCTATTTATAGGGTGAAAATTGGCTGATCTTGGTGCCACATATCACCATCTAGTGGCAAGACTTGGGGAGAAAGCAATGGCCAAATTTGTGCCACATCACCCATTTTCGCATAGCACACTTCCGACTTCTAAAATTCGTAACTTTCACATACGACCTCCGTTTTTGATGTTCTTTATATCCACGCGTAGGTAAAAATAAGATCCACAACTTTCATTTTGATTCCATCGGCTAATTCTCGACCGATCTTAAATTTAACAGTACAAGGAGATTATACTATTAAACGTCCGCGTAAAATTCATAACTTATACATATGGACTCTGTTTTCGTCTGTATTTTTACCATTGAGTTCCTATTAATGCGATCTTCAACTCTCATTTAGTTCGCGTAAGCCAAAAACCGCTTGAACTAAAATTCGAGTTTTGGGTCGTGCACTGCTAAGCCGAATCTTAGAAAAATCATAACTTCGTCATACGAAGTCAGATTTGGGCGCTCTTTTTATGGATGTTCTCGGTTTAACATATAATACAACTTTGGTTTAGATCATTAAGGTTAAAAAGTCCTCCATCGTAAATTCACTATTTATGTCTCCCGGTGTCGTGCCGGTTTTGCCGTAAAACTTCGACGGGACATAACTTCTTCGTTATAACTCGGATTTTGGCGTTCTTTATATCCCCAGAATCCTTTTTTTCGACCACTACAACTTTATGTAAAGATGTTAGACTTATCTCACACTTAAATTTTGATACTTATTTTTATTCTTTATTAACTATATATTTATAATACACATAATTCACATAGAATTCAAATATTTTATCTTTATTACTTCAAATAAGAGTTACAATAGTTGACCTAGACTATTACATCGTCCAAAAATGCTAAGCCCCGAAACCCGGGCGTTACAATGACTTTCCCATGTATCTTATAAGTATCTTATGATATGCTCATATCATAACCACATACTCTATCTTGTGCATATTATGGAATAATTGATGGATTCATTTGTTAAAGCAAATAGAATACAAATCATTATATCTAGCTCAAACCTTTTTGCTAGGTCCTTTTGAGGCAAACTCAAAATGGTGAAATATAGTATTTAGCAAAAATCCTTCCTACGAGTCATGCATCTTGATCTCCTTCAAGATATTATCAAAGGATTTTAAATGTTAATACTCATATTTATCTATAATAGATTTTACTTTTTACGAATGTAGTTTGTCTCTCCTAAGTTTTTCATTTTAGAAATACTTTCCAAGTTAAGGCGAAGCGGCCTTGCATAATCGGAATGTAATTTTCCATGATTAAGTATGTATCATTCATACAAGATTAGGATTAACACTATGCTCCCATTAGTTTTTAGTAAACATAAATGTTGTCTTCATTTTGATGTAAAAACATACTTTATGTTTTCCTTACTAAGATGATGATTTTAACTTTGAGATGTTTGCTTCGTATCCATAAATGCATCTCTAAAGATTACATATTTGTTAGGATATATTGGATTAACAAAACATCAAGGTTAAACTATATAGACATCTTAAAGTAAGTTTCTATTAAGGAAAATGGTTTTCTTGAAATCTATTTGTCATATCTTATAATCATAATATGTAGTTATGGTAATAATATACCGGATGAAATAATCATAGCTACTTGAGAAAAGGTCATAGTCAATAACATTAGTATGAGTAAAGCCTTTTACAACAAGTTTTGCTAGATTTGTGTAGATCTTCATGTTTGTTTTCTTTATGAAAGAATCACTTACCCCTTCTAGTATCACTATAGGGAGGAAGATTAATCATGCACATACTTAATTATCATACATGGATTGCATCTCAATGTTCATGGCTCCAAGTCATTTGTCAGAAATCATCAAGAAAAATATAAATTATTTCTACCATATATACGACAAATTTGTGTTTTCGAATAACTATTATTCATGTTCAATAATTTCTTATTGAAAACTAGTGCCAACTTTTTTTTACATCGGGCTATGTTTCTTAAGCTACTTCAAGTTCCATATGCCTCCCGATTGCTTTTTAATTAGAAACTTACGTTGTAACAACTCAACTTTCAGAGAAATAAGAGACGTTATTCTTGGTGGGTTTGTATAAATAATAAACTAAATAACCTTTTAGGATATTCTACAAATATGTATTTAGTAGATCTTGAGTTTCGAGGCTTTTGTGTTACACAAGTTTCACATCCTCAAAACATTAAGTAGGATAAGGTTGAGGACTTTCATGCTAAATCTCACAAGGTGTTTTGTTTACTTCTTAGTTAGAGATTGTATTCGAAATACGAGTGATAGTGATTAAGGTATAGTCTCAAAAGGATAAAGGAAAACTATCTCTTCTTATTAGAAGGTAAGCCATATATAGTAAGGTCTAATTTATCATTTATTATCTCTAAGGCTTTTGATGATACTACTGATTAGTTTCTCAACTTTATATTTGTAACTTCACAAGGTTTTACATTTATCTTTTATTGTATAAAATATAACTACAAATATATTTGTTTATTAAGTTGATAGGGGTATCTTGTATTAAATCTAGGCATTCATTAAAAATGAAGTCATACATTACGGTGTATTGTTCCTTAGTAATTATTTTCTCTACTATTTAGTGAAAATATCATTAGTAATTGTTTATACATAAATAAGATCACTACTAGAAAAATAACCTTTTACGACGTGCATTTAATGACACACACTGATAGAGGACGCGAATTTGAGCGTGCCCTAAAAAATAATGTTAGTTTTCCAAAATTTGAAGAATAGAGGACACGCATTTTTGCGTACCCTAAAATTAGTGTCAAAAAAGAAAAAAAAAGAAATACGGAGGGCACCTATCAAAAGATGTGTGTCGTGTAACTGTGTCGCTTTATATATATATATATATATATATATATATATATATATATATATATATATATATATATATATATATATATATATATATATATATTTTTGGAAACACGCGTTTTTAGTGGGAAAATGAAATCCAAAAAGTTAACCCCCGCCTATTCATCCCAAAAATTCCCCGCCTCTTCGAATTAGGGCCTTCGTCTGCATCCACAGCTTCCTCAATTCCTCGATCCATCACCTCCACCAAAAACCTAATTCTCGGTTCCAACAAGTTCTTACACTCTTAATTCAACCCTAATGAGCTGAGGATTTAGGGTTCTTACCTCCCAGTTATCAATTTGAGCCGATGATTTAAGGTTCCTAAATCCGACCCTAATTTTTTCTATCTCACTCTCGTATTTCCATCTCATCCCTCTCGCCTGGTTCAAAACACATAAGGGGCGACGAACACACTATTTGTTTGCGTATTTTGGTCTTCACAAAGATCTCGTTTCCATGTAAGCTTTACGTTTCGAGCCCAAACCATCCTCACGCGATGTCATTAGCTTCTCTTACTTACGCATCTGCACTCGGTGGTTCTTTGTCTAGAAGCACCGCTCCCGAACCTCAAATCGTGGCTAGGTTAACTAATCCTCATATTCCTGCCGCCAGAGGCAGGGTTAACTTTGATCCATCTGAACCATCCGACCTAGCAGCAAGCATGAGTCTATCAGCAGATGGTCTCACAAATCAAGAAAACGAGATTGATGACCAGAACACCCATATCAAACATTCATACTTGACCAACAAAGGCTTCTATCAATTTTAATGCCATGGTACATATATCTTCTCATCTTCTCATCTTTTACATATCAATTTTGAGCTGGAGGCGGCAACCTAGAATCACGCTGTAACGCCTAATTATGAGTCTTAGTGATAAATCAATGATACGAGATAGTCATGCATTCACCAATGGATCTGAGTTTCAAATGATTAGGTAAGGTGTAAATTAGACAAAAAGAATAAGGTGTTCGATTCACCCTTCTCCAAATGGTGCTTAAACTCCATTCCCATGGTAAAATCATCTTCCCACCACAAAACCTAGCTTGTAGTTCAAAATTTCTTTTCAGATCTATTTCTCATTTTTGTAGATTAAGCTTGGGGAAGTTGAAGTAATTGTGTTTATGGCATAAGGAAGAGACTCACTGAAAAAACGATTAATAGATTTGTATTAGTTGTCTTTTTATAGTATCTATTTTAGCTTTTTTCGACTTCTAATTTTTTTTGAAACATGGCCCAATATTAATCATTAATATTGGTCAATCATAAAGTGATATTTTTCAAAATGTACGACCAAAATTGTTTTAATGCATCTTTGAAGAATTTTTACGACGTTTTTTTGTAGAAAAATATCAAAGGAGTCTCCATAGACAGTAAAATCGTCCATAAAAACATCTATGATATTTTTGACATATTCAAAAAAGATACTTACCATACAATTTTGAAAGGTGACTGGTGTGTTGCAGAGTCCGAAGGGCATACGTCGGTAGGCGAACGTTCTGAATGGGCAGGTAAATGTCGTTTTCTCCTGATCTTCTGGTGCAACTGATCTTCTGGTGCAACTGGAATTTGATGAATCCTGAAAACTTCTCCAAACCAAAGTAATGTGATTTTCTAGCCAGTCTTTCGAACATCCGATCAATGAATGGAAGCGGAAAGTGATTTTTAGGGTGGTTGTATTTAATTTCTGTAGTTGATAAAAATCTACCATCCACTCTAAATCCGTGTTGGGGACAACTCTTTTTCGTTATTTTCAACTACCATAACCATGACTTTTTTTTGGTACGACTTGAAATGGACTAACCCATTTGCTATCAGATATGACATATATTATTCTAGTATCTAAGAGCTTCATTAGATCCTTTTTACCACTTCCATCATTAGCGAATTTAGTTTATGTTGGGCCTCTCGGGAGGGCTTGAAATCTTCTTGAATCAAAATTTTATGCATACAAAGCGATGAACTGAGCCCTTTTATGTCAGCTATGGTCCACCCAATCATATTTTACTGCTTCAGAATCGCGATCAGCTCAGTTTCTTCTTTTTCTGAAAACTTGTTTGATATGATGACCAACAATGTTTCTTCTTCTCCAAGATACGCATACTTCAGATATCTCGGCAAGGTTTTCATCACCAATTTGGGTGCTTGCCCTACAGAGGGAAAAAGTTTGTAGTTACAATCTGGTAACTTTAAAATCTGAATATCATACTTGATTTTTTTTCTTCTGGCCCATGCACTACAAGAATCAAGATCATTACCAACGAAGTTATTAGCAGCGACACTGGATTCTAGTGGCGACTCAAGCTTGGGTCATCGCTAAAAGCCGGTGTCGCCGCTAATAACGTCGCTGGTAATGTTTTGGTGTATGTATGTTTTGGTGTATCTACGTGTGTATAATATGTAACGAAGATTATGGTTCGTTGGATAATTAATTTGTGTTTTGTATGTTAAATTTGTCGTGACACTTTGCTACTTGTTAGAATTATAAAACTTTGGTGGTTTATTTTGGTATGAAATTAATTATAACACTATTTGGTATCTAATCGGATGTTATTATGTAATTTTTTTTGCATTTGATGTCGTTATATATCGGTTTTTTTGCACCCAAAATCGTTGATTTAAAAAAAAATGAAAAATGTTATTATCGGCGACACTATTACCGGCGATAAGGGGTATTACTGGCGACGTCGGGTATTGCCAGAGACGAGAGCATTAGGGGCGAAAAATATCTTTACTGACGACGCGTTGCCGCTATTACCTTTACCGACGACTTTTCAAGGCTTTAGCGGTGACTTTTGTCGCCGCTAATTCCTTTCTTCTTGTATTGATGTGAGCTATGATTTCATGCACTTCCTTAGCAACAATAAAATTTTCTAATAACTCCTTGGCTTCCTTAACACTAATATTTACACTAATATTTTTGTGGAGTACTAAAGCTAGCAGATCACGGTTAGTAATCTTAAAATATTCATCAGTCAAATGTTCAATAAAATTAAGAGTTGAAATGTCACTAGGATATCACATAGTTGTTGGGAAAATTAGGGTTTGCGGTGGAGATCTGGATACCATCTTGGATCATGATATCACTTTCCGAACTGATATTTCTACCTTATGTCTGGGTTACAAGAAATTCAGCGTAGGATAATCCAAGCGGACACCTACGTTTCTAGGCACAGAAAACGTAAGCTATTATGCTAAAAGGTTCTGTGAATGTGTGATGTAAACGAGAGCTAAAGAACATCCTTCTTCAGGAAAGGAAGGGTTGTTTATATACTAAACACGATTAAGGTTTCATTAGGGTTGGGCCGCCATTACTTGTTTTGAAAGCAAGTAATATTAATCTAGATTAGGGTTACCAAAAACTAACGAGTTTCGTTAGTTTTACCATAATCACCCTCAAGAAATTGAATTTTCCATTATGTTCCCACATGCAAAATGCGGTGAGGTTTTGGGGTGCTGCCCCAAACCCCACGGGGGCTCTGCCCCTCGACCCCCCCCCCCCCCGCGGGACCCCATCCAGTGGCTCTGCCCCTTGGACCCCATTAGGGACGCTGTCCCTAGACCGCCCCTTTGGAAACCCCGGACCCCCGACTAGTCGTCGAACCGGCTTCTGACTCGAAATTATACATACGCGCACTCCGCACAACCCCATACATGTATTAGAATACAAATCATGAAGCCCCTTAGCTCACATGTTAGTTCCAGTTACTTAAAATGACATGGTGACACTAAAATCACCAACAATCCTCCCCCATTTTAGTGTAACCCTTGAACAAACATAACCTTATCAACAACAAACCAAACTCTTACATAATGAAAATATCGTAACGATTGAATTTCCACTTAGTATCATACAATTGCAAATACTCGAGAATCAGGGTGTTCTAAGAATTGAACCCGTCAACCCATTTGAATACCAGAAAGTAAAATACATACTAGTTTATTTAATTTCTAGCATAATATAACTTGACACTATTATAAAGTCGTGCGTCCCAATCCTCTCATGATCGTATCATGGTCAAGTCCACAACCTCTTGAAATGCGGCTACACTTCACGATCACGTAGGTAACTCATTTCCATGTATCTGCACATACATTTATCAAAGGAATTATTAAGAAGTTAAACTTCAACCTGGCTGACTTGCAGAACCGAACACATACTTGGGATGAATACTTCATGTGTTCCAATCTATAAGTATGAGCTTTCCACATTGATTTAAACTCCTAACATTATATTAGGAGGGATTTGGGTGTCTCATCATTATAGAATTAAATGGACTTTAATCCCATCCCGATCACAGACTTGTGCACTAAGTCTCTTGTCAGACCTTTAGTCAAGTGATCTGCCAAATTATGTTGCGATTTAACAAACTCAACCGAAATCACACCATTCATGATTAGTTCTCTAATCATACTATGTCGAACACCTAGGTGTCTAGACTTGCCATTATAAACCTGGCTATATGCCTTAGCCAAAGCGGCAACACTATCACAAAGGATAGAAATAGGTGCTATCAGTTTAGACCACAAAGGAATCTCATAGACTAAATTCCTTAGCCACTCTGCTTCTTTACCAGTAGCTGCTAACGCAATAAACTCAGATTCCATTGTTGAGTTTGTAATGCAAGATTGCTTCTTCGAAGCCCAAGAAATGGCACCTCCCCCAAGCAAGAATACCTAACCAAAAGTTGAGGAATGGTACTCCATGTTGGTAATCCAACTTGCATCTGAATGACCTTCTAAAACCGAAGGACTCCCCAAGTAACTCAAACCATAATTCATGGTTCCCTTGAGATACTTAAACACTCTATTCACTGCTTGCCAATGTTGAGCACTAGGATTGCTAGTGTACCTGCTCAACTTACCCACAACAAACGCAATATCAGGTCTGGTACTTGTCATGGCATACATCAAGCTACCAATAGCCTTAGAGTATTCCAACTGTGAAATGGGAATACCATTATTTGGCATTAATTTCACACTTGGGTCCATAGGAGTACTCACTGGAGAACAATCGGTAAAATTAAACCGCTTGAGAACTTTCTCAATATAATGACTTTGAGTCATTACCAATCCTTTGTTCATCCTATTAATTCTTATTCCAAGAATTACATCAGCCTCTCCTAAATCTTTCATGGAAAACTTGGATGACCACAATTTCTTTGTTTCATCCACTTGATTTTGGTCGATGCCAAAAATCAACATGTCATCTACATATAAGCAAATGATCACTCCAACTCTAGTAGCATCATCAAATCTACTATAAACACATTTTTCACATTGGTTTGTTTTGAAACCATAAGAAAAAATCACCTCATCAAATTTTTGATGCCATTGTTTAGGCGTTTGTTTCAGCCCATACAAAGATTTGACAAGTTTACAAACCATATGCTCTTTACCGGGCATAATGAAACCTTCTGGTTGTTTCATGTAAACTTCCTCGTCAAGATCACCATTTAAAAAGGTTGTTTTCACATCCATTTGGTGAATAACCAGATTGTGGATACTTGCCAAGGCAACCAACAATCTAATAGTAGAAATACATGCAACTGGAGCATACGTATCAAAATAGTCGATACCGGCTTTTTGTCTAAAACCTTGAATGACTAACCAGGCCTTGAATTTTTCAATGGTCCCATTAACATTCATTTTCTTTTTGAAAATAGATTTGCAACCAAGAGGCTTAGAACCCGGAGGCAAATCAGACAACATCCATGTATTGTTCTCAAGAATTGATGACATTTCATCATCAATCGCTTCCTTCCAAAAGGCACTATCCCGAGACTCCATGGCCTCTTGATAAGTCTTAGGATCATCTTCAATACTATAGCAATAAGAGTATTCAAGATTAATTTCATCCCTTGAACCTTCCACTAAGTACAGTTGGAAGTCGGATCCGAAATTCTTAGCAATCTGGCCTCTTTTGCTTCTACGAATATCTTGTGGTTCTTGCACGACACCACCATCTTGACTTTACGAATTTTGCTCTTTATTAGCATCAAAAGTCAGATCCTTAGGCCTTTGAATCGATGAAAACCTCATCTCATCAAAAATTGTGTCCCGCGATTTGATAACAGTGCTAATTAAAACCGAATCATTAGGTTCTATTACATATAACCTATATGCCTTGGAATGTTCAGCATATCCAAATGAATATGCAATCAATTCCATGTTCTCCCAAAATTTTCTTTCTGGGTTCAGTAAGTTTTACAACTGCCCGACATCCCCAAACCCAAAAATAACTCAAATTTGGCTTTTTCTTGAACCAAAGTTCATATGGGACTGTTTTGTTCCTTTTATTTGGAACCCTATTTAACAAATAGCAGGCTGTTAACATGGCCTCTCCCCAGAATCCTTCACTCAATCCCGAGTAAGACAACATCGAGTTTACCATTTCCTTTAAAACTCGATTTTTGCGTTCAGCAATGCCATTCCGTTGAGGCGTGTAAGGTGTCGTGGTCTCATGAATGATACCCACTGATTGGAAGTATATGGGATTCATATATTCACCTCCCCTATCAGTCCTGAGACATTTAACCGGAATGCCCAATTGCAATTCCACCTCGGTTTTGTATATTTTGAATTTATCTAAGGCTTCATCCTTAGAGTGCAACAAATACACATAGCAAAACCGAGTGTAGTCATCAATAAAAGTGACTACATACTTTTTATTCCCTAAAGAAGGAGTGGAATGAAAATCACACATGTCACTATGTACAAGCTCCAAAACAGCAGAATTTCTAGTGACACTAGGAAAAGGCTATTTTGTCACTTTTGTAAGCATGCATGTTTTACATTTATCAGATGTCATATCAAAGGCCGGAATTAATCCATCTTTTGACATCTCATGCATCCTTCTAAAGTTGACATGACCTAATCTTACATGCAAAAACATAGATTTATCAACATTAGAAGCAGAAGATACAAATGCGGAATTCTGAACAGGTAATAATTTGTCAACAATGTTCAAACGAAACATTCTATTATTTAAATATCCAAAGCCAACAAACATTCCACCCTTCGACAAAACAAACTTATCCTACTCAATAACTTGTTTAAAACCATCAGAATTCAAACAACTAGAGCTAACAAGATTCTTGCGAATCTTGGGAACAAATAAAACATCAAATAACCTAATTGTCTTTCCAGAAGTAAATTCAAGACACACGACAC